GCGTGGCACCGCCCACTTATGATCACATATATGTATATCGGTAACCGTTCTACCAATTTGTACCAAACTCGGTATTTTTATTGTGCTTGCCACATAAAAGCAAAACGTTGAAAATTATTGAAATCGGACTAAAATTACGGCCGCTTTTCATATAACGGTAAATTTCAGAAATGCTTGAAACTGCAATATTTCGAAATTTAAGGACGCTAATTTACCCAAAATTGATACACCCCGGCTTACCATCTAACATATATTTAATACTTGCGCCGGATATTTCCTCCTCTTTTTAATAATTTCCACAGATTTTATGCAAAAAATACTACTTTTTATGCAATTTTAATGCTGTTTTCCCCATTAATAAACCTTATGGGAGGTGGTCACCTGGAACGACTTCCTGTAAAAACCTGCAAATCGTGAAGCATCTGGAACGCAACTAATACAAGATTGCGCCGTCCTGGGCGTTGACATTTGTGTACCACAAGTAAACAAAGAATAGGGCGAAAAGAAGAACGAGTTGAAACTGCCAAAGCTGTTCACTTTACAGCGAAAAACGTGTTTAAATTTTGCTAAATGCGAAAATATTGCATTTTTCACCTAATCTATTAGAGAACAGTGAACATTTTAGTGCACTCCATTGCTTTGCAATTGAGGCTACTTCAGCAAAATCTCTGCGGGATTGATTAGTTAACTTGCTAACGGAGGCTGCGTGGAGCAGAAACAAAATCATTGTGAGAATATGCTGTTAAAATAATAATAAAGAAATATTTCGGGAACGGCTTTGCCGTGCCCTATGTACACAAAATGCAGCGACTCGTCCCAGCGCTACACTTGCATCTAGGCTTCTTGCATCTTGTCGGCTGTCGCAATTTAACACACATCACTTCATTGTATTAGTTTTTACGCAGTCTTCAACTCAAAAATCTCTCACAAATTGCAAATTAACACAATTTAAACTGAGTTTTCACTAATAATTCATATTTCTCTTTCGCTGATTTGTTAACAAAGGTTTATTTACAAGTTACCACAACTGTCAAAATCGGCAAAACCAAAGCAGCGGTACCACTGACGGCGCCACCTTTGTTCGCTGCACCGTGTTTGCAGTGCGCTATTTCCTGTAAAGTAACAGCAAGGAATACCGACTCCAAGCTCCTAATACGGTCTACAAAAAGGGGTGAAGGCTTTTTAAGGTACCCTTTCGACACCTGATCCACTCACGTAAAAGTTGCGTTACTGGTGTCTTCGTGCTCGCTGGGATGTTGCTTGCGAATTATATATCCAGCCATATATTTTAGCGCATCGCCATGCAGCACGTCAGCATCGTCATGCATCACATCGGTTCCCCCATGGAGCACATCGCTGTCGCCTTCCAGCACATCGGTTTCGCCTTCTAGCACATCTGGATCGTATTCCAGCACATCGCCATCGCCATTGGCGTGAGCGACATTCAGAGCGTCAACGACCTCTGATTCTGCCTCCAAATGCTCTGGTTCTCCTACTTCCTGTTCATGTGGTGCGCTATTTTCGAACACCCCGCTTCCACACAATACCTGCGGGTTTGATGTGTTCAGCCATTCAACAGAATCCTGCTCGGCGTTGCCTGTTTTGTTCAGATTTTGGGCATTCCTTGCTGAAAAATAATTCAGAGGGGCTATTCTCAAACGAGTCAGCGACAAATATCGTATCGCTATCATAACCTTGCGACATTCATAACACACGTCAGCCACTTCCGATAGCGATCTGAATATTGTCGTTAACTGGTTTGAGATTAGGTATACAGGTGTGGACAATATACAATTAAATATACATTTAAAAGATGATTTTTGGCAAACTTACCTAAAATGTATTTTCGGAGCCTGTACCTAAACTCCTTCGGCGTATGGTGGTCGTTTAATCCTCCCTTGCTTCGTATATTTCCGAAGAAGTGCTTCAGCAAATCTTGATTTAGACGCCGTGTGACAACGTAGTTGAAGTTGTACTTCACTCCCACATACTCGTACAACTGTAACAGTGCGTTATTTGTTACCAAAACACCACTTTGAAATTGTTGTATGCTATTTTTGCGAGGAATGATAACATCTGACATGAAATTATTCATCCGTTCCAAAATCTCGAGCTGCCGCTGCATCGTCCGTACAAGTGGTCCGTTTAAGTAAATTATATGCAGATAATAAGTTGCGAGCTTTATGAAATATTACCTTTCCAGGATAATTGAACGTTTTAATGCAGGAATTGAGCATGTCGTACCAATCGTTCACCAACTGAATTAGTTCAGCTGTCTCAATCGCTTCTTCTATGTCCGACCCCAGAGCGTAGCAGCGCAGCATGGCTTTTGCAGTCGTGTTAGAAAGCAACTGTGTCGCCAATTTTACCTTTTGTCTGCCTGAAATTTTGCGTGAATTATATTAGCTACGAGATTATAGAATAGTTATTATTAACATACCTATCCCTTTTACAGCTAAGTACTCTTCTGTTAACTTGAATGTTATAGATAGGTCGGATACAGATGTATACCTCATAACATCAACTATTGCGCGCGTGGTTATTATACGGTCTTTCCAAACAAATCCAGTATTAATAAAATGATTTCGGATGAGTTTCAACAGATGCTGAGCATCCGCAAATGCGAAAACCTTCGCCCCTGGATCAATAGGGTTGGTAAACCGTGGGTGTTCTAATTAATTGTTAATTAGCTTTAGAAAATGTATTAGTGAATTAAATATATACCTGGAGTGATGCCGAGGTCTCTCCAAAGCTGTTGGTGAATATGGACCGAATGGAAGACATCAAAGATGCATTTTCGTCCAGCAGGGCTTTAAGTTTTGCGTTCTCCTTAAGCAGCTGCTTATTTTGCGCTTTCAAATGGGCAATCTCCAGCTGCATTGTACACTGCAGAACAATGGGACTAAGAAATTTGTTATGTGGAAGAAGAAAACTGAATAGAAAAGTACATACATATATATGTATGGCATTAAACAACTTACTAAGTTTGCGTATGGCAACTAGTATGTGCCACACATTGAGCAGTTGTTCCTACGGAATCACTTTTTACCACTTCTGATATAATTGATTCACTTAAGAGTTCACTTAAGTAAGCAGTTGGTTCACATATTTTCCCACCGTCACTTCCATAAATAAAATATTTAAATTTTACCACCTACATGCATTTATATTCTAAGGGCCGTTTGCACCATGTCTAGTTAATTCTAACTCCCAGTTAAACATCTTTATCGACGTTATCGACACCCATCATATAACATGTGATCGATAAAGCAGTTAACGTGCTTAACTGAAGGATGTACCTCCAGTTAGCGTTAACTAGACATGGTGCAAACGGCCCTAAGGCTCTGATCTTAAAGCATACTTACAAAGGTGGTCTTATAAAGAGCGTTGGAACAGAGTTGGGCATCAAGTGCGTTCGTTGTGCGCCACCCATCAAATCGGAGCTCGCGAAATGCTTCTCGCAAACTACATGGTTTGCTGTGAACGTGATGCCACATGCCAAAGAACGTAGATAAGAACAAGAAGGGACAACTCGTTATAATTGTGGTGAAAGTGCGCAACAGAGGCGTGCCTTCTCTTTTCATCCAATCAAAAAACGCACTTGGGCAATGGTTTGATGAGAAAAAGTGGCAGCATTACTTTTTCGAGTATACAGTGGCTAGCTGCGTTGCAGTGATCGCCGATCGAGATTTCATTGAATATTTTACATTATTTGGATAAAGTTAAGCAAATTAAACGCCGATGTGATGCTGATAGAAATCTGGATCAATTTGTGATCAACTCTGTTTATTTTGTTACCTATTGACAGCAATGAGAATTGACAGCACCGACAAATGAATATATACGCAAACAAAAGTTCGGTTATGGTTAAAACAAATCAAGTTTTTGTATTGGATTTTTTGTTTAAAATTTATTTGTTCCTTTTCAGTAGGGGTTTTGCACATTATCTTCTGCGTGAGGATTGATCGTAATCGATACGGATCTGAATAAGCGACTGGAACACGGCTGTTTGTCAAAAGCATACGATTTCGAACTCGCGTAAATGTACATTTGCAGGGTTTTTGTTGCATTTAAAATGCAAAATTTAGCACTTGCGAACATATGTTTTCGAAGAGCGTTCATGCTATCGCATTTAGCAAATGTACATTAACGCGAGTTCGAAATCGTATGCTTTTGACAAGCAGCCGTGTTCCAGTCGCTTATTCAGATCCGTATCTGTTACGATCAATTCTCACGCAGAAGATTATGTGCAAAAACCCTACTGAAAAGGAAAAAATAAATTTTAAACCAAAACTTCAATACAAAAATTTGAATTGTTTTAACCATGACCGACCATTTGTTTATGTATATATTCATTTGTCGGTGCTGTCAATTAAAATTTCCTCACTTAATTAGGAAACAAAACAAACAGAATTGATCACAAATTGATCCAGATTTCTATCAGCATCACATCGATATTGAATTTTCTTAACTTTTATTTATCCAAATAATGGAAAATAATAAATGAATTCTCGATCGGAATTCACTGAAACGCAGCTAGCCACTGTATACTCGAAAATGCAATGTTGCCACTTTTTCTCATTAAACCATGTTCGAATCGTGGAAATTTTGGAAGATCACATGGTTGCTTTTAGCATTTAGATTCTTAATGCATAAATGGAGTTGCATTTAGCTGCATTTACGTGACGAATTTTGTATGGATAAATGTACATTTAGGGCCGGTTTCTCTATCTCCGGTTAACACTAATCCCCCGGTAAACATCGTTACCGACCTTATCGACTCCCTGTTATATGCATGGAGTTAGAACGTCGATAACAATGTTTAACCGGGGAGTTAGTGTTAACCAGAGATGGAGAAACCGGCCCTTAGAGTAGCATTTAGAGCTAAATGCGCTAAAAGTGCTTTTACGCGTAAGCAAAAACAGCCCATAAGCAAAAACAGCCCATTATGGAGCGTACAATCGATAGTTTTCTATCAATAAGGTCAGCAGTTTTTTGCAGGGTGGTATCGAAACAAAAGTATCGAGTACATACTCGTAATTACTTGTATCGGACATTTGTAACTTCGATTTACTCGTATCGTTTCATCCTTACAAGAGAACCGGCTAAAAAAGTGTATAAAGGTGTTCGAATTTTAAAACTTTTTAGTCATGTCGTATCAATATCACCAAATAGCCAATTTGTTGGAAAAGGTATTGTACATTTTAAATTGAACATTGCGCAGTGTAACTAAATCTATTTCCCCAGATGACTTCCAGCGACAAAGATTTTCGTTTTATGGCGACAAATGATTTGATGACGGAATTACAAAAGGATAGTATTAAGCTTGACGACGAGTCTGAGAAAAAGGTTGTACGTATGGTTTTGAAACTTCTCGAGGATAAAAACGGCGAAGTCCAAAATTTAGCGGTAAAGTGCTTAGGCCCATTAGTGATCAAAGTGAAAGAAAGTCAAGTCGAGACTATTGTTGATACTCTTTGTTTGAATATGATATCAAATGTAGAACAGCTCCGGGATATTTCTAGTATTGGACTTAAAACAGTTATATTGGAACTCCCACAAGCACCGAATTCTTTAGCGCCAAATGTATGTCGCAGAATAACTGGAAAACTCAACAGCGCAATAGAGAAGGTACTTAATTCATGACATTTGCATTCACGATGTAACGAACAGGGTCACGCGTTCCGCAAACGGCTAGTTTGGTTTTTGCCGAGGGTTGACTTTAGTGTACATCGACATGTGTGTGTTTTAGCAAAACTATAACGAATTTTTTCATAAATTCTCCCTTATTTCACTTTTTGGGTGGGGTTTAGTAGCGTTCACAACTATTTACGGCTATTCCGTCCAAAGGGGTTGCCCGGCCAAAAAAAAATTCCGCACTGTAGTCTAGGGTCTACGCATTATTTTAACTCTCACTTTTGTAAATTTTGGTCACTAATTTATTTACAAATTGGGTTTGAAATATGCCCTTTTTTGTAAAATTTGGAAATTAGTGTACATTTATCACTCCTATTCTCCTTAAAGCAGCCACTTCACCAATACATTTTTGTTGTTCTTGTTGTAACAGCATACAAACTCCCCAAAGACTTTTTGGGGAGTGTTGCTGGAGTGACAGTCCTTGGCCAGATATAAATCTGGGTCGTTCCGGTTACGTAGACCCGACTGTCGTGGGAACGAATACATTTTTGTATTCCCCTTCACTTTACACTTTACTCGGTTAGTTATAACTTGCTTTACGACTTTAATATTAACCAATTAATCACAATTCATTAAATAAAAACCTTCAAAATCACGCGTCTGACTTTGGTTGCATATGCAAATTAAANTTCTTTGGCAACACAGAAAGGAGAATTCTACTGCCTGAGGGTTATAATCCCTAAGTGCGGCCGAAGGCCGCCTACGCAGAAATGAATTCTACGCAAAAATACATTTGTTAAAAAGAACATTTTTTTAATAAAAACTTGTTTTTTCTATTTTTAATTAACTTTTTTATTCTTTATTCAAAATCTCCCGATATCTAATTTGCCATAATTTCTTGTATTAAAAAATCCCACAGTTTCTGTTAGTTGGGTCATATTCCACTTCAAACTGCTCAGTTTGCCTAAGAAAATTCCGTTTTTCCCCTTTTTTCAAACGGTTCCTTAGGGGCCTGTGGGAGCAGCCCAAGGGGGGGCGGGGTTACGCCTTTTTAGAAAGCGGGGACTGTCCCCTTTCTAGTTAGGGGGGGTTTGATAAATATTTTGTCAATAAACAGGGGAGTTTGATCTCCATATGGTTAACTCTCAATAGGAATATGTGCTTTTTAAATTACAACCTCTAAAAAATCTTCAATTACGGCCATTTTTTTTACAAAAATGTATGTTTTCCTTTGGAAAATATATAATAATAATCCATATTTTGGTAAAAGTGCACTTTAGCGAAATCAGGCCAAAATTGATGAAAAAAATTCAAGAGGGCTATCAATCGACACGTTTTAATGCGAACAACAATAATCCGAGACCGGAAAATCACATTTCTAATTCATTAAAGAGTTATTCGCAAAAAAACACTTGTACTTTTCGCACTATGTTTTGATGAATTTGACGCAAATAAATGGAGGAAATGAACTCAACTGAACCCATATTCATTAGTTTTTATACATTTGTGATATTTTAAGAGTACAGTTTCGCAAAATTCTGTATTTAATAGCAATATTCCGATCGTGAAAATCCGCACAACAATCTTGCGTAGTTAATATAAATAAAATGGAGGAAAACTAGTGTTGCCACTCTATTAAAAATAAATGGAAGTAAATTGCTGCTGGCGCTCTATTAAAAAAGTTTTTGTGCGTCCAACTCCTTTTTGCATAGGCGGCCTTCGGCTGCGCTTAGGGATTATAACCCTCGCAACGTAGAATTCTCCTATCTGTGTTGCCAAAAAAAAAAGGGGCAGGACACCATTTGCAGAGAACACCTTTCTGCGTAGGCGGCCTTCGGCAGCGCTTAGAGATTATAACCCTCACAACGTAGAATTCTCCTTTCTGTGTTGCCAAAGAAAAGGGGCAGAACACCTTTTGCAGAGAACACCTTTTTGCGTAGGCGGCCTTTGGCCGCGCTTAGGGATTATAACCCTCACTACGTAGAATTCTCCTTCCTGCGTGCGAAGAAAAGGAACAGAAATCCCCTTTTCACAAAAGTATATTTCTTGTGCATTATTTGGGTGTTTTTAAAGTTGAAATACAAATTGTATTAATAGAGTGGCAGCACCAGTTTTCCTCCCATCTTATTTATATTAACTACATAAGATTGGGCGCGTTTATAAGACGTAGCTGTTTATAGCTCAACTGCTACGAAACTGCTGGCACTGTTGGACAAAACAATTACGTCTAAGAAACGGCTTGATAGATATGCGGCCGCCGTGTTGAAAAAATCGTTCAATGTATAATGAATTGAACAGTGTATAAATATATAGCAAACATCTTAAAAATATATATTTAGAAACGTGGTATTAGTATAAAATATTTTAGTTACTTTATAACATCAGTAATATAAAATAGAATAAATTTGTTTGCAACTGCCACGTAACAAAGCGGCGTTAAATTTAATACAAGCGGCGTAAGTCTTTACGATCAGCTGTTTAAGCTAAGTCCAACACGTTGAGTTCAGGTAACGTAAAAATTTTCCGATTGAAAAAATGGCGGAAAGTTGCCAACTGTTGAGCTGAGCGGAACTACTCAACTGTGCGTTTCGAAGACGAAACATTCAACAGTTTAACAACAGCTACGTCTTAGAAACGCGCCCATTGTTGTGCGGATTTTCGCCATCGGAATATTGCTATTAAATACAGAATCTCGCGAAAGTGTACACTTAAAACATCACAAATGTATAAAAACTAATAAATACGTGTTCAATTTAGTTCATTTATTCCATTCATTTGTGTGAAATTCATCAAAACATAGTGCGGAAAGTGCTAGTAAAAATGTTAATTTCCGGTCTCGGATTGTTATTATTGGCGTTAAGACGCGTTGATTGATACCACTCTCGAACTTTTTCCGTCCATTTTGACCTGGTTTCGCTAAAGTGCACTACTACCCATATTTTTTGCATTTTTTAATAAACAATATTGAAATAGCAAATATTTACGCCTGCGTCGATATTTTGGTAAAGTGCACTTCAGCGGAACCAGGCCAAAATTGACCAAAAAAAATCAAGAGGGGAATCAATCGACGCGTTTTAACGCGAATAATAACAATCCGAGACCGGAAATCAAGATTCTTAATTAATTTAAGAGTTATTTTTTTGTTTTTTTTTTTTTTGTTTTTATTATTACGGTCTTAGCTAATTCAAAGTAAATTCAGTGTTACATAAATATTACATATTCAACGTTTTGCAATATAAAAATAATTTTTCTTTAAACTTATTAATATTTTCACAGTTTTTTATCTCGCTTGGTAATTCATTGTACATTTTATAACCTACGTATTCTAAGGACTTCTTTGCGAATTCCATTCTTACTCTAGGCAGTCTTATATTTTGGCTACTTCTAGTTTCATAATCATGGATCTCATTATTATAATGTATTCTATCACTCAAGTAATTTGGTAACATTCCTAATTTTATATTATGTATAAATTTCAATGTGTAATAGGTAATTGATTGTTTTATACTAAGCCAATTTAACATATTTAGCATTGTATTCTTCGATGTTCGTGAAGTACATTTTAATATTAATCGCATTGTTGTTGTTGTTGTTGTAGCAGCAGTACTCAACCCCCCGGGGTTTCGTCAAGGGTCGTCTTCGTCCTCTGACTCGACAAGCCTGAGGCCGAGAAAGCGGGCAGCGTCTATAGGCGCGGTCCATAGTGCTTCTGGTGTCAGGGTCGTGGGGTTAGAGGCGCATGCGAAGAGGAGTTGGGTGTTGTGTGGACCTTGCCCGCATGCAGGGCATGTGTCTGCCACTTCTGGGTTCAGCCGGGAGAGATAGCTGTTTAATCTGCGGCACCACCCAGAACGGAGTTGTGCTAGGGTGCACCTGGTCTCTCTTGGCAGTTCGGCTTCGTCGATGTTGATGGGTGGCGGTCGACCACCTAGAACGATGTTGTCGTTTCTGGTGCTAAGACTCGACCTGACTGCATCGGTGTGTAGGTGGTTAAGCGCCGCTCTGTATTTCTGTGCGTTGTTGTTGTTATTTTTGTTGTAGCGTCTACAACAACCCCGCCCAGATCGGTTGGTATCTCAGTCGTTGTCGTCAAGTTCCACTAACGGCAACCCTAGGAAGCGTGCAGCTTCTGTGGGATCTGTCCACAGGGACAGGGCCGTTAGGGTTGTCGGGTTTTCCGGGCATGCGAAGAGATGGTTCGAGTCATGCGGGGTCTCTCCGCATGCCGGACATTCGTTCGGCACATCCTCATTCAGCCTACTCAAGTAGGAGTTTAACCTGCTGCAGTAGCCGGAGCGAAGTTGAGCAAGTGTAGTGCGTGTCTCCCGAGGCAGATGAAGCTCTGTCTCGTCAATGTCCGGGGGTGGTATGCCTAGAACGGCATTCACAGGTCTAGAGTCTACATAACTCGAGACTGAGTCCCTGTGAATGCCGTTCAGGGCCTGTCTGTACGCTGTCGGGTCCAGAGGTTGCTTAATGAACCTCTGGACTTCGTCCGTCAGTTCATATAGATGCCTCCTGACGTGCCTAGGCGAGGGCTCCTCTGCAAGCAGCTGTCTGTTTGGGTGGCCACTTCTGTGGCTCCCGATCAGGAACTGCTTGCAGAGCATTATGTTGTGCTCCTTAACTGGGAGCATTTGCGCCTCGCCGTGCAAGTGATGTTCTGGCGACATCAGGAGGCATCCCGTCGCTGTCCTAAGTGCCGTATTTTGTCCCGTCTGTAGCTTCGTCCACTGCGTCCTACTAGTCCCTGGCGACCACACTGGCGCTGCGTAGTTCAAAACCGGCCGGCCTATTGCCTTGTATGTTGCCAGCAACGTTTCTTTGTCTTTGCCCCAAGTACTGCCGGCTAGCGACTTGAGGACCTTGTTGCGGCTCTGTACTTTATTGACAATAGCGGTTGAGTGCGCAGAGAAGGAGAGCAGGCTGTCGAATGTTACTCCGAGTATTTTGGGGTTATTCACCGTCGGAATTGGTGTGTCATCGACGTGAATCCCCAGCGGTAGCCTGACCTCCTTCGTCCAGGTTGTGAACAGGGTCGCGGAGGATTTCGTAGGGGAGAGGGCTAGACACTTTGCAGTGAAGAAGCGAGAAAGTTCGGAGAGATATCCGTTTACTTTCGAACACAGGTCATCAATTCCATTCCCAGTCGCCATGATCGAGCAATCGTCGGCATAAGAGACAATCGAGACTCCCTCTGGTGGTTGAGGGAGCTTTGAAATGTAAAAGTTAAACAGTAGCGGGGAAAGGACACCACCCTGAGGAACCCCCTGTTTTATTTTTCGCTGCTTACTCGTTTTGTCTCTAAACATTACCGACGAATGTCGACCACTCAGATAATTTGCCGACCACCGTTTGAGCCTCTGTGGGAGAGAGGAGGCCTCTATATCTTCTAGTAGCGTGGAATGGCAGACGGTGTCAAACGCCTTTGACAAGTCCAACGCTACTAGAATCGTTCTCTCACAGGGACGGTTACGGTTAAGGCCACGAGTTATCTGAGTGTTTATGGCGTTAAGTGCTGTTGTTGTACTGTGCACTTTACGGAAACCATGCTGATGCTTCGCTGGGGTCAGGTGGTTTGTGAAGTACGGGAGTAGCAAGGCCTCGAGTGTCTTCGCTACCGGGGAAAGGAGTGTAATCGGACGATACGAATCTCCTTTGTTGGCAGGTTTCCCCGGTTTGAGCAGTGGGACCACTCTCCCCACCTTCCAGATGTCTGGGATGATGAGAGTGGCCATTGACAAATTGAGGACCTCCGTTAGGTACGCTACCCCCGCAGGACCCAAATTTTTCAGCATCAGCATGCATATTCCGTCGGGACCCATGGCTTTGGAGGCTTTCGCCTTCCCGATGGCCACCTGAACTTCACCGCAAGTGAAAGCAAGGGGGGCACAAGTTGTTGGCAGTTTGTGCAGCCTTCTGGTCACTCGACGCTTGGCTTTGTCCACCGGAGGATGCAGTATGAACTGCCGGCTAAAATAGCTCGCGCATCGCTCCGGGTCCGACGAAGCATGGTCGCCGAAGGAAATTTCGACTCTGTCGTCGTGCTTCGTCGGATTAGACAGTGACCTCACGGTTGACCAAAGCTTGCTCACACCAGAGGTGAAGTTACAGGTCTTCAGATGCTCCTCCCACTTCTTCCGCTTATGTACGTTTACTAGTTGCCGAATCTCCGCGTTGAGATCCCTGATACGGGGATCTCCGGGATCGGCCTGACGAAGGCTATCACGCTCATCGGCTAGAACAGCCGCTTCGGCAGGGAAGTTTGGACGTGGGTCCGATATACATCCTGCCGGTATGAAGCGAGCTGCAGCAGCAGTGATAGCCCTGCGGAACTTACGTTCACCGAGATGGACGTCGGTTGGTGTGGGGAGCGCTGCGAAGGTGTTTTCGGTAAACTCCGCGTAACCTTTCCAATCAGCTTTAGAAAAGTTGATATAGGTCCGGTGTTTGGCGGAGGCAAAGTCGGTTGGTTTATCTATCGAGATGACTATGGGTAGGTGGTCTGATGCTAAAGTCAGCATAGGTCGCCATGTTATGCTGTTTATCAGACCAGCGCTGACTATGGTGATGTCTGGCGAGCTACTGCAGTTACCCATAATCCTGGTGGGTGCGTCGTCGTTCATTGTGCAGAATGTCGAATCGTCTATCTGCTCAGCCAAGTCTGTTCCCCTACGATCGTTTGACAGGCTTGAGTGCCAAAGATCGTGGTGCGCATTAAAGTCACCTACTACCATACGGTTTTCACCTCTGAGGAGCGCACCTATATCAGGGTGATATCCTGCCGGGCAGCAGGTGACAGGGGGTATGTATATGTTAAATATTTCGAGCTCGACATCGCCTGACCGGATAGCGATGCCCTGACATTCTAGGGTGGTATCCCTGCGGTCGATGTCTGCTTCGATAAGACGATACTGCACGGTGTGGTGCGTGATGAACGCTAAGCCACCACCATTATCTCGCTCGCGATCTCGACGGTGCACGTTGTACCCGGCGCAATTCAACAAAGTTGAATTGCTGTGCAACTTCGTCTCTTGGACCGCAGCTATCAATATACCATGCCGACACATGAAGACGGTTATCTCCTCAATCTTGCTCTGTAGCCCGTTACAGTTGAATTGGAGGAGCTTCATGTGGTTCGGGAGACGTGTCGTGATGTGGGGTGTGAGTGATGTGTATGTTCTTGCCGCCGTTGGCTGTGTGTGCTGCTGAGGTGGTTGCCGCCCTGTTGTGGTGGTGGGGTGCGTCGCAATTGACGTCTGCGACCGAGCAGCGCAACACGGGCCCTCGAAGTTCCCCGTCCAATCTCGCGTGGTACGCAGACCTGAACATGCCCTAAAGTGGCACCAGCCAAGGCAGGTGTTGCACTTGACTGATGTCACATTACGGAATATTCTGGTCTGACATACCGTGCAGATTGTAGGGGGAACCAGGAGTTGTTGGCGGCGGCGTGTGGGTGGTGGTGCGGTTGTGTGTGTTATGTGGTCTGTGGTGGCTGTGGTATGTTGTTGTGTTGTGGCGACTGTGTGTGGTTGCTGTGTGAGTGTGTGGGGCTGCACGGGCGGACTATCGTTTGCCGTGGAGGCTGCTTTATTTGAGCAACAGGGGGCCACGTAAGACGTGGTCCACTGTCTGTGTGTCCGTAGTCCCGAGCAGACCCTGAGGTGACTCCACCCCTCGCAGGCATTACACTTGACTGAGGTGGAGTTGTGGTGTAATCGTCTTCGGCATACACAGCAGGTGTATATTTCTGGCCCAGGGTTTGACTCGATGCCAGCCCTGAGTAGGAGAATGCGTAGTGAATGTTGCCCTATGGACGGACAACTTCTGAGATACTTCGCCGACCTAAACGGGGTTAGATCGCCGAAACAACAGCCCTTGGTCGGGTGAAACCCGAGTCATTCCGGTACGTAGAACCGGCTGTCGTGGGAATGTATTTCTGTGCGTCGAATGGGTGGTCTACGANTTAAGCGCCGCTCTGTATTTCTCTGCGTCGAATGGGTGGTCTACGCACGGCTCGACGTCGGATTTCCAGTCGTGCAGGTGACGTCTGACATGTCGGGGAGGCGGTTCATTTCGAAGCAGGGCGTTATTGGGGTGATTTCCACGGTAACATCCCACGAGGAACTGCTTCGATAGCAACGTGTTGTGCTCTTTCACCGCCAGCATCTGGATTTCTTGGTGGAGGTGATGCTCGGACGACATGAGATGGCAACCTATAGCCGTGCGTGCTGCATTCTGGCATGTTTGTAAGTTTCTCCACTGCATATCGCTAGTACCCGCCGTCCACACTGGCGCTGCGTAGTTTGCCACCGACCGGCCTATTGCTTTATACGTGGTGAG